GTCATCGTGCTGCTGGCGCTCAGGCTGAGGCGCTGGCACGCGTCGCGTGTGCTCCAGGCTTCAGGAGGCGGGCTGGTGGGCGTGCCGGCCTCGCACTTCCTGGGTGTGGACGGGGTGCGGGCTTTCCTGCAGACCTATTCGCACGAGGTCTCCCTCACCGCGGACTCGCGCAAGAGTCACCTGATCTTCCCCCAGCCCAACTATGTGGACACGCTAATCAGTCTGGAGAGCTGTGAGAAAAATGATTCCTTGTTAACATCGGTAGATTTTCGTCAATGTAAGGATGAAGCTGCTTCTGTTCAGGTGAGTTCAGTTCTTTGTTCACGTTTAATTCTGAGAGGAATTCTATTTTTTTTTTATAAATTTATGTTTTAAAACACACATTGTGGAGATAGTTTAAAAAGGTTTTAAAAACTGAAACACAAAGTTTTTGGTTTTAGTGCTGGTACTATAAAATTGAGCTCTAATCGTGATCATTTGCTTCATTTGCTTTCCAAAGACTTGGACAAGATTGTTTAAATGTTAACTCTCAATCTTTTAACAATTTTCCATATGTGGAGCACCTGGCTGGCTCAGTCAATAAAGCATGAGTATTTTGATCTCAGGGTAGTGAATTCCAGCCCCACTTTGGGTGTAGAGATTACTTTAAAAAAATATATATAGAGATAGATAGATATAATCTATATACATAGATCGATAGATATAGATCTATTTATATTTAAATCGATAGATATAGATCTATCTATATAGCTCTAGATAGATAGATATAGATCTATCTATATAGATGCCCAAGTGGCTCAGTCCGTTAAGTGTCTGCCTTCAGCTCAGTCATGATCCCAGGTTCCTGGAATCGAGTTTGGTTGGAGTTCTTTGCTCAGTGGGGAGCCTGATTCTCCCTCTGCCTGCTTTGCCTGCAGTTCCCCCCTGCTTGTGCTCTCTCTCTCTCTCTGACAAATAAATAAAATCTTTTAAAAATATACAAAAAATTAGAGTACCTGGGTGGCTTGGTTGGTTGGCCTCTGACTCTTGGTTTCTGCTTGGGTAGTGATCTCGGGGTTGTGAGATCAAGCAGAGGTGGGGCTCTTGGCTCAGTGGAGACTCTGCTTGATGATTCTCTCCCTGTGCACCTCTCTCCGCTCATGCTCACACTCTCTCTCTCAATCTTTTTTTTAAAAGAAGAAAAACATAATAATAAATTTTTATTTTCCATATGTTACTATAATTATCACTTAATCACTCATTAACTTAAGAATTAGTTACCCTGGGGCACCTGGGTGGCTCAGTGGGTTAAAGCCTCTGCCTTTGGCTTAGGGCATGATCTCAGGGTTCTGTGATGGAGCCTCGCACCAGGCTCTCTGCTCAGCGGGGAGGGGAGCCTGCTTCCTTTCCTCTCTCTCTGCCTGCCTCTCTGCCTACTTGTGATCTCTATCTGTCAAATAAATAAATAAAAATCTTTAAAAAAAGAAATAGTTACCCAACCACATATGGTAAGTTGTTTTCTATTTGGGAAATATATATTCCTAATTAGAGTTGAGATAAAAATAAGTGAGACTTTTAAATCCTTGTATTAGCTTAGTAAAAGTAAAATACATCTTACAATTTTGGGATTCTTTTAGGGTTAGGATCTTGAAGATCTGAAGTTTTCTAGGCTTTTGGAGATCACTTTAAACCCCTTTTATGAACTTTGTATTTGCATCAGTACCCTTCAAAACTGTGATACTTCTTATTATATTTCAGAACACAAATACAGGGATGGCTGGGTGGCTCAGTGGGTTAAAGCCTCTGCCTTCGGCTCAGGTCATGATCACAGGGGCTCTCTGCTCAGCAGGAAGCCTGCTTCCTCCTCTCTCTCTCTCTCTCTGCCTGCCTCTCTGCCTACTTGTAATCTCTGTCAAATAAATAAAATCTTTTTTTAAAAAAAGAACATAAATACATTTGAAAGGGTGGAACTTGGTAGTAGGTGAAACTGGTTCCCTTATGTGTCAGTTGTCTCCAAGAGCTCATACTAAAGAAGACATAGAATCTAAAATCTAAAATTTCCATCACCCCCCCAAAAATAAAGACAACAAGATCGTATTTGAAATAAAATGTCATTTTGTAAAATACAAAAGATGTTTTCGGTAAGTTCCAATGAATTGTTCTGTTGAACAGCCATGTGAAATGTGCTGTGTTCACGTGGTAAGAGAGTTTGAGAATGTTGATTTTAAGAAGTTTCACTTATAGATTCTAAACAAGCTGATCAGTTCAATTAAAAATGATTCCATCTGGATTATATATCTTCTGTATTCCTTGTTATAGCATTTTAACAGTGCTAACTCTTGATTTGTCATTACATGAGAATGAAGAACACAATAAAGCATTTGTTAGTTATAAAATGGGCATTTCCCAAGGGCTCTGTAGTGTTTCCTCCTATTTTGTACATAATGTGGGTGAGATTTAACTTCATATTTTCTGTAGTGTTTGGGTGCACAGACATTTGAGGGGAAAGCTATATTATTCATACTTCACAATTTTTAAAAGTGTTTGGAAACTTGTCCTGACAAAAGTACTTATTCTTATTCAAAACATTCACTGATTATTAAAAAACTTCAACACATGGAGTAAAATAGAACAAATGTCATTTTCCCAGGAAATTTATATAAATAAACTTACCATAAGTTCAATTCTAAAGTCATTACTTCAGTATAACATAGATACATAGATAAGAAAGTAATGTGATCTACTGAAATATCCTTTTGTGACTGTGTATTGAAGAATAGAAAAACATTTCCCCAGTGACTTTTAAGAATGAATTAATATACTATATTGGGTATGACATAATCCAAGTAATTTTTAGACATGAAGAAGAAGGTAGAGTAAATCATCTCTTGGCTACATCATAGGGAGAGAGTTCTTTTTCTTTGAGTGAATACTTCCTTAGATAGTCAAGAGTAAAGAGAAATTATTTCTTAATACTTTTAAAAAAGATTTTATTTATTTATTTAACAGAGAGAGAGAGAGAGAGAGAGCACAAGTAGGCAGAGAGGCAGACAGAGGGAGAGGAGGAAGCAGGCTCCACGCCAAGCAGAGAGCCCAATGCGGGGCTCAGTCCCAGGACCCTGAGATCAGGACCCGAGCCGAAGGCAGAGGCTCAACCCCATGAGCCACCCAGGCGCCCTGAGAAATTATTTCTAAAAGAGAGTGTTAATATTATCAGAAGATGTTTGAGAATGTATGAAATTGCACAACTTTACATAATAATTTCCAACAGTGTTAGTATTCTCTATGTAACATGAAACCGCATTAATAATGTACAAATGTTGGGGGAAAACATTTAGGTATCAATGAAAGAAGATTAAAATTGTTTCACATATTATACCTAATAAAATAATTCTGTGAAGTCAGTAGGTGATAAGCTCTCTGAAGTCAAGACCTCTGTTTTACTCATTTTTATATTGCTACTGACAAGGGCTGTACTTAGCAAAAGGCAACAGTTCAATGTATGTATGTAGTAGGGTGAAATGGATGGACCAGTATATGTAGGTTTCTATAAAAACTCAACATATTTCTAATAAATTGGAAACAAGAGAAAAAAATGCCTTTAAAAGGCTTTGTAATTTAAGATATTAAATATATTACCATAAAAGCGTGGCTTGTTTAGTTATGCTCAGGATTGTAATTATTGTAGCTGGTTAAACTGAAGCAGCAGAGGCTGCAGTGTCCTAGTGCGGACTGTGGGCGCCGCTGTTGGCCAAAATGGAGAGCTTGGGCACTGGCGATCTCTTCGCGCAGCCGCAGCGCACTTTCCCTATCCGACTCGCTAGCCCGAGCCTTTACACCACTTCCTCCTGTGGAAAAGAAGAAACCCTGACCCTCACACAGGACTTACAGGCCGTTCGGAGCTCTGGACATCTGCAGCCCAGAGATTATTTGTGATCCGGCGTCTCCAGGCCGGTGAGCAACCTGAAGGGAGCAAGAGGGATGGGGAGCGGCGCTGCGGAGAGGGGCTGGGCTGAGAGGCGGCCGGTGCTCTTTCCCTTCCTGCTGTCTTTGTTCTGGCCGGCGCTGTCTGAGCAGATCCGCTACGGGATTCCCGAGGAAATGCCCGAGGGGTCGGTGGTGGGGAACCTCGCCAAGGATTTGGGACTGAGCGTGCATGAGTTACCGACTCGACAACTGCGCATCAGTTCGGAGAAGGCTTACTTCACCGTGAGCGCCAAGAGCGGGGAGCTACTTGTGGGCAGCAGGCTAGACCGGGAGCAGATATGTGGGAAGAAGACAGCCTGTACTCTGGAATTTGAGGCTGTTGCTGAAAATCCATTGAACTTTTATCACGTGAGTGTGGACATCGAAGATATTAATGACCATACCCCCAAGTTCATCCAAACTTCCTTTGACCTGCAAATAAGTGAGTCTACAAAGCCTGGGGCACGATTTATTTTAGGATCTGCCCATGATGCAGATATTGGTACCAACTCACTACAGAATTACCAGCTCAGCCCCAATGATCATTTCTCACTCGTGAATAAAGAGAAATTAGATGGCAGTAAATACCCTGAGCTGGTACTAAAGGTGCCTTTAGACCGGGAAGAGCAGAAATCCTACCAGTTCATCTTGACGGCATTGGACGGCGGGGATCCAGCCCTTAGTAGTACTGCCCAGATACAGGTCCTAGTGACTGATGCCAATGATAACCCTCCAGTGTTTAGCCAAGAGCTATACAGGGTGGCTGTTCCGGAAAACGTTCTTCCGGGCACCCTTGTGCTTCGAGTGATGGCCACTGACCAGGATGAGGGTGTCAATGCCCAGATCACTTTCTCTTTCACGGAAGCAGGCCAGATCACCCAGTTTGACCTAAATTCTATTACGGGGGAAATTACTATTTTACATACGTTAGATTTTGAGGAGGTCAAAGAATATTCCATAGTTTTGGAAGCAAGGGACGGTGGAGGAATGATTGCCCAATGTACGGTGGAGATAGAGGTCCAAGACATAAATGACAATTTCCCAGAAGTGGTATTCCAATCTCTGCGGGATATCGTTATGGAGGACACCAAGCTGGGAACACACGTTGCTTTGCTTAAAATCCGTGACAAGGATTCTGGACACAACGGAGAAGTTGTTTGTAAATTAGAAGGTGATGTTCCATTTAAAATAGTCTCTTCTTCGATAAACACCTATAAATTAGTGACAGATGGAGTTCTAGACCGTGAGCAGACTCCTGAGTATAATGTCACTATCACAGCCACCGACAGGGGCAAGCCCCCCCTTTCCTCTAGCTCAAGCATCACCCTACACATTGGCGATGTCAACGACAACACGCCAGTTTTCCAACAGCCTTCGTACGTCGTTCATGTGGCAGAGAACAATCCTCCAGGCGCCTCAATTGCCCAAGTCAGCGCCTCCGACCCCGACCTGGGGCCCAACGGTCGCGTCTCCTATTCCATCGTGGCCAGCGACCTGGAGCCTCGGGCGCTGGAATCCTACGTGTCCGTGAGCGCGCAGAGCGGGGTGGTGTTCGCGCAGCGCGCCTTCGACCACGAGCAGCTGCGCGCCTTCGAGCTGACCCTGCAGGCGCGCGACCAGGGCTCGCCCGCGCTCAGCGCCAACGTGAGCCTGCGCGTGTTGGTGGGCGACCGCAACGACAACGCGCCGCGGGTGCTGTACCCGGCGCTGGGGCCCGACGGCTCGGCGCTGTTCGACACGGTGCCGCGCGCCGCGCAGCCCGGCTACCTGGTCACCAAGGTGGTGGCGGTGGACGCCGACTCGGGACACAATGCCTGGCTGTCGTACCACGTGCTGCAGGCCAGCGAGCCGGGACTCTTCAGCCTGGGGCTGCGCACGGGCGAGGTGCGCACGGCGCGTGCTTTGGGCGACCGGGACGCGGCCCGCCAGCGCCTGCTGGTCGCTGTGCGGGATGGGGGACAGCCGCCGCTCTCGGCCACGGCCACGCTGCTCCTGGTTTTCGCCGACAGCTTACAGGAGGTGCTGCCGGATGTCAGCGACCGCCCTGAGCCCTCTGACCCTCAGGCTGAGTTGCAGTTTTACCTGGTGGTGGCTTTAGCCTTGATTTCGGTGTTGTTCCTCCTCGCGGTGATTCTGGCGGTTGCCCTGAGCCTGCGCCGCTCCTCCAGCCCTGCCTCCTGGACCTGCTTTCAGACTAATGTCTGCTCCAAGAACGAATCTGGGGCTCTCCCCAACTTCAGTGAAGGGACTTTGCCTTATTCTTACAATTTATGTGCTGCCTCACATTCCTCAAAGACCGAGTTTAAATTTCTCAATATAAAGCCTGAAAATATTCCACCACAAGATCTTCTGTGTAATGAAGCCTCTTGGTTTGAAAGTACCAGTAATGCAGATCCCCAAATGACTTCTAATTCAGTCAGTTTGCAACAGGTGAGTTGCTTCAAAATCCTTTCTTTCCATAATTGTAACTAGAGGTCAATAATTATGATAGAAGTAAAACGTATACAGGTTAAGTATGCCCTGCTTTTATTGTGTTTTATAGATTTTTCTGGACATCACATGGGGGGATTGTTAGAATTTTTTGTTCATTTATCTTGTTGCAGTCTTTCATGGGAAGTGGCCTTGTGATGGTCTTGAAATTTTTATTAAATACAAAGCCATATATCCTTAAACATTTTTGATACCTTAGTATCATACGGTCATTGGGAAACATATTATAAATATATAATTAAACACAAATGTATGCAATTAAGTGGTTTACTTAGTCTCAATGCAGTTAATCCTAAACTGTTTTGTATATAATATATAATTTTTTGTCATTATAGTCAATATATTTTCACTTTCTTTTCATGTTTTTTTTAAACTTTTAAAAATTCATTTAAGTCCTCTCTACACCCAACAGGAAGCTCAAACTCACAACCCCAAGATCAAGAGTTGCAGTCTCTGGGGCACCTGGGTGAATCAGTTGGTTAAGCATCTGCCTTCGGCTCAACTCATGATCTCTGGGTCCTGGGATTGAGCCCTGGGTTATGCTCCCTGCTCAGTGAGGAGTCTGTTTCTCCCTCTGCCCTTCCCCTCTTTCATGCTCTCTCTCAAGTGAATAAATAATATATTTAGAAAAAAATAACCTTAAGATTAGTTGCAGTCTCCTCCAACTGAGCCAGCCAAGCACCCCCTTTCATTTTTTAAAAGGTATACAGAAATATTGCCTAAGGTTATTTATTCTACATGTTAATAAAATAGTGACATCTAAAAATGGCAATACTTGTAACTGGCAGTAGGTGGATTGGTTCTAAATGTGTTGTTGCTTATTGGAAATGGGACAAATAAGAAAGACTTTTAACTAGAGGACAAATTGAGGGTTGCTGGAGGGGAGATGGACAGGGGGATGGACTAAATGGATGATGGGTATTAAGGAGGGCACTTGTGATGAGCACTGGGTGTTATATGTAAGTGATGAATCACTGAATTTTATTCCTGAAACTAATATTACACTATATGTTAACTAATTAGAATTTAAATAAGAACTTAAATCATAAAAAATGCAAATGGGGCAAATACAAATGATGGTGGAATGTGAAAATTCAAGATTTACATAAAAGTGTAATCTTATTTCTGTTCTCCAAGGCCCTAAGAGCTATAACACAAAATGAGTGGCAAATTCCAGGGAACATCTAAAATTATTCAAAATATTCTCTTTTATTCTTTTGGGGAGAGAAATATTACCAGTGACACCTAAGCAAGATTTAGCCAATATAAGATTCTCTGTATGCAAAGACAGTGCAGTATTAAGTTAGGACTCTAAGTGTCGCTGTTCACTAACCCGGGCAAGGAAAACAAGGAGAACTGGGGTTATATCCCCAGCAAAAAAGCAGATCAGACAGGATAGCTCTCCAGCTGCGCAGAAATTCTAATTTTAAAACGCTTCTCAACTGATCTACTTGTTTACGGAGCTTGACTTCCAATTCTGAGAAGCACAAAAGTGATTGCAAACCTGTTCCCGCTACTCGTAATCCCAAGGAAGTCCTTAAGGAGCCAGTAATGGCCGCTCTGCAAAAGCGCCGGCGCCGCAGCGGGATGGTGGTGCTCTTCATTCTTCTGGGGATTCTGTGGGAGGCCCGGGCCAGGCAGATCCGTTATTCCATTCCTGAGGAGCTGGACAAAGGTTCCTTCGTGGGAAACATAGCCCACGATCTGGGGCTGGAGCCCCAGGAGCTGGCGGAGCGTGGGGTCCGCATCGTCTCCAGAGGTAGGTCACAGCTTTTCACTCTGAACCCGCGAAGCGGCAGCTTGGTCACCGCGGGCAGGATAGACCGGGAGGAGCTCTGTGCCCAGACTGCACCGTGTCTGGTGAGTTTTAACATCCTTATTGAGGATAAACTGAATCTTTATCCCATAGAAGTGGAAATAGTGGATATTAATGACAATACACCCGGATTCTTCAGGGAAGAATTAGAAGTGAAAATTCTGGAAAATGCAGTCCCATCCTCTCGTTTTCCACTAATGGAGGTCTATGACCTGGATGTGGGAATGAACTCTCTTCAGGGATTCAGACTCAGCGAGAACAGTCACTTCTCAGTGGACGTGTGGAGCGAAGCCAATAGGCCCAAATATCCAGAGCTGGTGCTGGAGCGCGCCCTGGATCGGGAGGGAGAGGCCATTCACCACCTGGTTCTTACTGCTGTGGATGGCGGTGACCCTGTTCGCTCAGGCACTGCACGAATTCTGGTGATTGTCCTAGATGTGAATGACAATGCTCCAGTGTTTACTCGGCCTATCTACCGTGTGAGCATTCCTGAAAATCTGCCAGTAGGTACACCAGTATTGTCGGTAAATGCTACTGACCAGGATGAAGGAGTCCACGCAGAAGTAACATACTCCTTCCTAAGGGTAACAGAAAAGATCTCAAAGATTTTCTGCTTGAATGTTTCCACTGGAGAAATAGCAACTTCTGCAAATCTAGACTATGAGGACTCAAGCTTTTATGAGTTGGATGTTGAAGCCAGGGATCGGCCAGGTCTAGTTGACAGAGCAAAAGTCGTAATAACTATCTTGGATGTAAATGATAATGTACCAGAAGTGGTAGTTACATCTGGAAGTAGATCAGTTGCTGAAAGTACGCCTCCAGGAACAGTAATTGCTCTTTTTCAAGTATATGATCGAGACTCTGGCCTGAATGGCCTGGTAACCTGTTCCATCTCAAGAAGTCTGCCATTTGAACTGGAAAAATCAGTAGACAATTATTATCAATTAGTGACCAATACAGTACTAGATCGAGAACAGGTATCCTTGTACAACATCACTATAACAGCTACAGACAAAGGAATTCCACCTTTGTCTACAGAAACACTTATCTACCTAAATGTGGCAGATATCAACGACAATCCGCCTGCCTTCCCTCAGTCCTCCTATTCTGTCTACATCCCTGAAAACAATCCCAGAGGTGCCTCCATCTTCTCTGTGACTGCATCCGACCCAGACAGCCAGGAGAATGCTCGAGTCACTTACTCCTTGTCTGAAGACACTCTCCAGGGGGCTTCCCTCTCCTCCTATGTGTCCATCAACTCTGACACAGGCAT